TTTCCTAGCTTGTACCTTACTCCTCTCCGTGGGCCCTGCTCCTCACCCGAATGCCATCCTACAGCACCACCGCCCCTGCAGAGAGTCCCTGTCCCTTCACCCTGCCACCCAGCACGTCTCGATTAGTGCCGCTAAATGGCAAGCCCAGAGGTACAGTGAGGGAAGGGGCCCCGGTAATGAACTCCCATTGGTTTCCTGCGCAAGATCACTGCCTTAATTTACGAGGCCTGAGTGAGTCTCATTTCCCCAGTGCACGTTGAGTAATTAACTATTAATAAAAGCATTACTGAGTTAACCACGGGGGCATGTTTAATTCATGGGGCAGCCCGGAACAGGACGGTGGCAAGGCGCAGTGGGGGATTCCTCCCAGGGCCAAAAGATAGCAGCAGGGGTCTCTGCCTTGCTAGACCTCAGCCCCCTGTGGTGGGCCATTACTGCTGCCCCTGGGCAGAGGGGACTAATTGGCAGGAGGGAATCAAAACTGCCTGGCATCTCTCCCAGAGAGTAGCAGTGAGCGTTGGGAAAAAGAAGGCTCGGGACTCTGGGAGGAAGGATTCCTTGTTGAGTGGCCAGGGTGAGTGACCTTGGACAAGTAGACAAACCTCTCTCAGCCCGGTTTTTGTTTGTTTTTTAATCTGGAAACAGGGCTGGGCACAACCATTTCCAGGGTGCAGTCTGACAGCAAGGATGGCACAGATGGGCAAGTGGCAAAGTTTTTGTTTGGGATGCTCTTCAGGACCTGTTAGTGAACACGGCTCGGGGAACAGCGAGGGAGGGGAGACACCTGCTCCTGAGACAAGAGGGGCAGGGCCCGTCAGAATGCCTCCTGGGGGTCCACGGGCTTTTCAGAAGCAAGCCAGTCTGTCCTCACCCTTTCCTGTGCACTTCTGGCTGGCAACAGTAAACTTGACCTCAAAGTCCAGGCACCATCCCGGTGCCCACCCAGCCTCCGTGCCTTTGTGTCTGCTCCGCCCTTTGTGTGCTCTGCTTTTTCCTGTGTCCCAGTGAGTGCTCATGTTGTCCTCAAGACTAAGTTCAAAAGGCCAAGTCTTTCTCAAAATGCCTTTCCTGACCCAGATGGGTTCAGACAATTGGTTATGCCCTTTTCTGTCTCCCATCCTGCCACTGTCTATTATCCCTCACCCATTATCTATCCATTCACCTGTCAATCTATCATTCACCTCTACATATACCTACATACCCATCCATCCATCCATCCATCCATCCATCCACCCACCCACCCACCCATCCATCCATCATCTATGCACCAATCTATTAATCCCTCAAGCCACTTACCCATTTCCTCGGCTGCCCATTCATCTACTTACCCATTCATCTACTCATTCACCCACCACCCACACACCCATCTTAACTGTCCACCCACCATCCATCCATCCACCCATCTCTACCCAGTCACTATATTGCCTTCAGTGTATACCCCTGAATTCACTCAACACTGGACAAATCAGGCTTTCCCCAAATCAGAAAAGCAGTAGTTCCTAACGTTTTAGGAGTTAAGAGAACTAAACCTAAAAACCAACCAACCAACAAAAAAACAACAAAACAAACGTGTGCACATCCATGGTAGATGTTACTCTACTCTGTTGGGATTCTTTATGGTTCTGGAGCTTGGCAATGGTCCTGAGGACAGCAACACCATGATACAGTGGGGGACTGACTGGAAGAAAACCTCCCTCGAGAAGTCATGTCTCATTCCAGGGGTGGACCCACCACTAAGACTGAGGTAAAGGCAGTTATCCCTCAGGGTAACTCTGATGGGCCCTCAGCTCCAGTGCCTAGGCACCAGGACTGCCAAATCCCACCCTTCTCTCTCCCCCAGGGCCACTTTCTAGTCGACTGACTTCCATGGCTCTCAATGGGCGTCTCAGCGGGGCCACTTTCTGTGAGGGTGAGTGGATGTTTTAATAATCTTTCCCGATCTCCATGGCTCACACCTGGCAGGCGCCTGCGGATTCTCCAGAAGCATTTCCTGAATGTATTCTGATTCCCTTGTCCCCAACAGGAGAACTCTTCTCAGGCATTAAGAGAAAGGGATGGCCCTGCCACCAGATGCCAGGGCCTGGGGGTTGCTGGCCTGCTTCAGGGAAATGTACTGGGTTGCCAACGAAACGAAACTGTAAATAACCATGGGGACAGCAGTCAAGCTCATTGGTTGCTCTGAAGCTGGGGGAAGGGGCCTGGCTGATGTCAGGGCTGTGTGGCCAGGGGGCAGGCAGAGGCTGGACTGGCACTCACTGCTGCTGGTGGGGGATGGGAACTTGCCCATCTTACCGAGCAAATCATTTCAAAATTACAACTAGCACCACCTCTGCACACTTTATTTTGAAAAATATTTTTATACCATTTAGAGAGGTGCTCATGTGAGCAACACAACACCCTTGTGGGGTCAGAGGGCAATCCGGGGAAGCCGGCTGTCTCCTCCCACTGTGCGGGGGCCCAGGGATTGGCGAGCAGCACTTTCCTGTCGTCGCTGTTGCTCACAGAGCCATCTCCCCACAGCTGAAAATTCCTCCATGAAGCAAACACCCATTAAGAGGCTCCTGTGTGTATTGGGGCTCTGGTGCTGGTTGCTCCTCTCCCTTGTCACCTGGGTAGGTTGTGACATTAGAAATCTGGATAGAGAGAGCTAAGAGTTGTATGTTCAACATGGCCAGTAGATTTCCATACATCCCTATCTTTACAGTTGCTCGGGACATAGAATTATTCCATTTATGGGCAAAGACACAAGCTCAGAGGTCAACATGCCCAAGGTCACCCAGCCACTGGGGCAGAGGGAAATAGATGACTTCTAGATCCTTGGCTTCTGTGAGATTAATATCCACAGCCAGGATGAAATGGGCCCACAAATTCTAGCTGTACCGGGCCACTTGGGATTAAATAACCCACATGAAGGGTCAGGAAAACGCCCTTCTGTCTGTCCTTCCCACCTTGCTCTTTTCCTGGGCTGGAAGGACAATGACCCTGTCTTCAAGTCCAGCAGTAGGCCAACACTCCCCGGATGGCTCGCCCTGAAGGATGATCCAGGAAACTCCACCCTCAGGTCTACACCAATTCCCAATACCTAAGATGCTTGCAGGTACCATGGGGGCAAATTTACCTGGTGCCAGGCAACTTCTCTTAGGTCACTGGGGTTTTTCCAACACAGGAAGAAATGGATGGGGGATGCTCCTGAGTCCCTAAGGTAGGGAGGGTACCAGAATGGAATTGCAGATATAACAGGCTCTCAGCAAACCTCTGGCTTGTTCTTGTCCACACACCAACCACAAGTGTCCTAGTATATTGGGGTCATTAACCTTCCTCCCACTGTGGGCTCCTGGGAGAGGTGGTGGGCATGTAAGCACTTAAAGCTCAGACCTAGGTCAGCCCTCCCCTTTCTGCTGCTGCAGCAGCCCTGGAGCTGGGGACAAACAGTACAGCCTCAGAGACCAGTCACATCCGCAGCTTCCTTCAACCTGGGCAAACGCTGAGTTACCATGGTGATGCTGCAGCCCCCAAGATGCAGTGGTTGCAGACAGCACGGGTGGTTGGAGGGCTCAGGGCTGAGGGTGGACAGTCTAGACCAGGAGGCCAGGCAGCTGGATGGGCTGGGTGGGGGAGGAGGGAAGGAGGCCTCCTCTAGGCCTGGCTGGTAATTGCTGCTAAGTGAGGGGCTGTCATTGAACCCAACATGTGAGCGGTGAGGACCCACTCCACACCCTGTAATTACTGCACCAGACAGCAGTGCCAGCTTGTGTCCTGGAGAGGGGGGCGGTACAGAGTAGACAGGAAGCTCTCATCCACCTGAGGCAGCAGGCTGGGCTGCACAGCCCTCTCCCTTGCAGGCAGCCTCCCCAGTCCAGCCCCCCACCCTCCCCCATCCCCACCGGCTCACTGGGCTGGAACAAGAGCATTGTGTGATTCTGACCTCCAAGCTTGCAGAGCCCAAGGCAGATGGGAGGAGCCAGATAAGGTAGTTGTTGTAGAGAGCAGAGGGTGGCAGGAACTCAAAGCTGATCACAGTTCCAGCTCCTTTAAGGGCCTCAGTCTCCTTGCCAGACTCTCAATTCACAGGGATCCCTCTCCAGCAGGAGGTGGGCAAGAACTCACTTTCGGAAACCAGATTTTATTGGGATGTAGCCACGCCCCTTTGTGTCTGTGCCATGCAAGGCTTCTTTCCTGCTTCAAGTTGCAACACACACCATATGGTCCTCCATGGAAATATTTACTATCTGTCCCTTCCAGAAGTCTGTGGTCCGTGCGTTCTGGGCACCAATGGAGATCTACTCGCTCCAGCTCTACACAGAGCCCCTTCTGGGTCTTTGCCCAAACTTACACAAATGCCACTGCTGTCAGGCACCCTCTGCTGCCAGGGTTTGGGCAGGGGTGGCAGCAGGCAGGGCTGGAGCCAAACTGTGAGCCAATGGCGCCACCTGCCGTGAGTGCCTGAAGCACTTCTATAGGAGAGCCTGGTCGGCGGCTCCCCTGCCAAAGCAGAGGAGACCAGCTCTCTGAGGAGGGCGCAACCACCAGGCGCCAAGTTACAAGAGGGCTCAGCCCCACAGCATGGCCCTTTTGCCTCCCACGGGACTGTGGTCTAGACAAGTGAACAACTTGGCCCACATTCCGGAACCGAGTCCCTTCTCACACACAGCACATAGCAAGCAGCCTTGAATCCTCACCCAGCAGCTCGGTAAATTCTCTCTTTTCTAGGCCATGGTCTCTCGGTTCTTGACAGTATTTTAAGAATATATACATAGTGCAATAATTTTCTTAGTCTTCTAACTGCTAATAAAAGAGCTGGGGAAAAAAAGAATACATACATAGTATTTAATCTGTAACATTCTCCAGAAAGCCTGGGATAGACATTATCCTCTTTCCTTTTCTTCTTCTTCTTAAAAAACAAACAGACTACAGCACAGAGAAACTAAGTCACACAACGAGTAGGACAGGGCAGAGAGATGCAAACCTAGGCTGTGACACTGGCAGTCTCCAGACAATGGTACTGAGCAAATACTCGTTTATTTCTGGTGGTGGGTCCGTAATATGACCCCAAGGATGTGGTCTAGGGCAGAAAGAGGAGCATGAGCTACAGAGGGCAGGGCAGGGCAGGGCAGAGAAAAAGGCCCCAGGCAGGGGAAGGAGAGGCCAGGCCCCAGGGTTCTCCTTGCTCTCATGCCTCAGGCAACATTGGGCAGTGGAGAAGGAAATCATTATTTCAACTATAAATAAATCCATTCTCTGAGGAAGCTGCTGTCCAGGTGATGAGGCCCAGCCTGTCCACAGCTCCTTCCCAGATGCCATGCCCTGCAGTCTGAACCCAGCAACCCGAGAAACTACACACGTCTAAAATTCATCTTGGCTCTTGGAGCCAGAGCAACAGTGGAGAAGAGGTTACTGGCTCCCTTCACTGCCAGCTCAGGTCCTGGGTGAGCCTGGCATTCATTTTTTGGACCATGCTCCCCAGGAAAGAGCAGGAACCACTCCCACCCCCACCAGGGTCCTACAGGCGACTCTGAGGCCACCACCTGCAGTTGCTCTGAGGAAGCAGCTGGGCTCCCGGTCCCCACCAAGAGTGGTCAGCAGAGCTGACAGCAGAGTGGCTTGCTTCCACTGCTCCCGGTCTGGTCACTGCTGCCCCTGGGTCACAAAATATTCCTCGTCATCTTCTTCCTGCTGGCTGCTCCAGAGCAGCAGCTCCAGGTCAGCGCTGGGGGCCGGGCCCTTCGGGAGCTTAGGGCCATCGTCACCTTGGGGTAGACACACCAGTCACTGACCTAGTAACCTTCTCTGGAGATGGCCCTCTATCCTCCCGGGGTGGCAGTGCCATCTGGCACATGTCCCAAGCTACAGCAACCGTTGGTAAGAGGTAGCTGGATGGCAGGCGGGACAGCCATGGGGAGGAGGCCACCATACCTCTAGAATGCAGGGCCTTGAGGGCCACATGCAGGGAGATGCCGGAGAGGCAGAGGGCGAAGCCCAGCCAGTTTAGGAGGCTGATCTGGTCACCCAGCAGGTGAGCCGCCAGCAGCAGGGTGCAGACTTCCTGTGGCAGAGGCAGGACATGGGGTCAGATGCTGGTGTGACAGGCTGACCTGAGGCAGAAGTGGGGACCTCTAGGCCCAGATCACCGGCCTGCAGGCCACCAGGTGTCACCGAGATGCAGCTGCACAGGTGCTTCCCAAAGACTCCCAGCAAAAGCAGAAAGCCATTCAGGCCCCGGATGACGACTCAGGTGCCCCATAGAAGGAAGCAAGCCTGTCATTGCTAGGCACCCACAGATGGACAGGCCTCTCCTCATCATAGCCAGAAGACCCTTACACCCAAATGTTTGCTTTGGGTATTACTGCTCCAGCACGGGGTCTACCTGTCTTAGAGGGAAGCTCCTCCACAGACCTGACTCATGTGCCCAGCTCTCAAAGCTGGGACTTTTCACTGATCAACCTAGATGAGGGCTCCAGGCCACTTCCACGTGAGCCAAGCTGTCAGTGAAATACAGCTCAGGCACACCCAGGCCTGGGGGTGGGAAGCCTGATCTGCAGTTACGCTGTGTGCACTGGCTAGAAGGGACACTTCCTCAGCTCTGCAGTGGGAAGACCAATCCAGGGCCAAGCCGCTGAGAGAAGCCCTCATGGACCTCCTTCTAGGGGAGGTCTAGGGTCACTTCCCAGTATGTACCTTAAAAATGCCAGCAATGGAGAGAGTGAGGCTGGATGTTCTGGAGACCAGGAGGAACTCGGAGAAGCCCAAACCGAAGGCCAGAATCCCGCCAAGGAGGAGGCTCCCAAGAACCCACAGGAGCAGCCCTGTGTCCTGGAAGCGGAAGATCTTCTCTGAGGTGGACAAATGGAGACCTGAAAGCCACAGGGAGAGAGTGGGAGGCCAGGGCCTGGTGTGACGATTGTCTGAGGCAGGAGACAGGATCAGGGTGTGTGAAAATAGTCCCATGCGGATGGCCTGAGTCCCAGGGACCATGGTGGCACTGCAGATTCCAGGGCAATACACGCCCATTATCAGAACAAGGAGGAATTGAACCTGTGGGTAGAGACTGATTGTGCAGGAATACAAAATGTATGGATGCGGGGCTCCTCACCTTTAGATTACGTCTGTATGTGAACATATATGTGTACACGCACACACACAGGCCCACACACACACACACACGCTAGGCATATACCCTACCACTGAGCTATACAGCCCAGCTCAAATCCGGGCTTTGCTACTATAAAGCTGCAGATAGATTTGAGTGGAGAGAGGCCTCCTTTTTGGCTATTGGTTTCCCTACTGAGAGAATGATGGGGCTGCAACTAGACTGTCATCTCTCCAACGAGCAGTATAATCTAATGAACAGATCTCAAAACACAAAAACAAAACAAACCTCACAAAAAAAAAAACCCCAAAGCCAAGTGTGGTGGCACACACTTGTGACCACAGCTGTCAAGCTCAAGACCAGCCTGGCCTACATGACGCATCCCACACCAAACCAAACCAAACCACACACATGTAATTACATGAAAAACCTACAGCCCCTTGCTCCAGAGCACACTGTACAACGTGTCAATCCTTGCTTCATTTTTGGGAGCTGCGGCCCCTCCCTAAAGAGGTCCTGGGATCTTTCCACAGAAGGTCCCCACGGTGTGTTAGCGGGGTGAGGTCAGTATCGTCTGGGCACAGTGGGCACAGGTGGGAGCTGAAGGTGGACAAGAACTTTGGGGGTCAGGAGGAGGAGGGGGACACAGAGCTGTGACAACAGTGTGCCCCAGGCCAGTAGTCTGGCGATGCGGGCCATCTTGTTTGGTGCTGGGCTCAGCAGTACTGCAAAGGCAGTGGCAAATTGAAGGGAATTCGGGTAAGAGCAACATAAGTAATGAAGGCGCTTGGGGGATTAATTTACCAGAGAAGATTAAAGGAGCTAAATCCATGCAGCTTTGCTAAGTGGCGGCGACCAGGGGCTTTTGGATGAGGTTTGCAGAGCGGGGAACAGTGAGGATGCCTGGGGAGGGGGGTGAGTGTGGTGTTTGCTACAAGGGGCATAATGAAGGAATGGGGAGAGTCTTTAAAAAGGAAGAGCACGAGGCTCCACACACAAGTTTCCTGGACAACGAGGCTGCAGAATCATTTTCTCAGGGAGGCTGGAGACGCTTCGCTGCTTGAAACGTAAATGGATGTGGGCTGGAATTTTCGGTAATGACCCTGAGGACAGCTGGGACTCTGAGAAGGAGGGTAAACAAGACTAATCCCAAAGCACTGAAGAAAGGAAGGTGGCAACATCCTGCCCACCTTGTACAACCCCCTGGCCTTGCCTCTTCTCTGGAAGCCACAGGAGACAGAACAATTGTCCATGCACTCAGGCTGTCTCCCAACCCCAGCCGCGGAAGCTGCCACTCTGCCTGTGTTCCCTGAGCACACAAGGCAGAGCCTCCTGCCCCTGCTTCCCAGGGTGCCCTGGTGTCATCAATCCAGACAGCCACTACTCATTTTCTACCATCCCCCTTCCCGACCCAAGCATCCCACCTGGGACAGACCCTGGCTCTGCTCCCTGGGAGGCATGCACACATGACAGAGGGCCTCGCCTCCCAATGCCTGGTTGTTGAGCACCAAGTTTGGCTTGCTGATGAGCTCTGGGGCTTTGGGCAAGCTTTCACCTTCTCATTTCCTCAGTTTCTTTCTCCTACCACATAGGGATGAAAACAGTCCTCCACATCTGGTTATGGGGAAATGAAAATGTGGAGCTGTCCGCACCGTCTGCACTGACTCCTTGTACTTCACACATAATTTTTTTGTACCCTTGTCATGAGAGTCTAGTCATTCTCTGTGTATCTGTCCAGTCCCAAACCACGGCGTCTGGGGAGGGACTGAGTTTTAGATCTGGGCAACCTCTGCGGCTAGCACTGTGCTGAGCTCAGAGCAGCAACATGGGATCTGCTGTACCATGGTGCTCAGAGGTAGGAAACAGAGCGTACCTTCAAATATGGCAAAGAGAGGGAAGAGTCCCAGGAACATGAGTGGCTGCAGGTGGAACATGGTGTCAATGGGATTCTGAAGGCCTGCAGAACACGACATGGGACGTTGTCAGACCTGGCCTGTTGGCCTGTCTGCCCGACTCCCAACCCTCCCCAGGGGCTCACCCAGTTCAGCTTTCTGCAGAAGTATTTGTGTAAGGGTCCAGCGGATGCCACCGATGAATGAAGCCCCCAGCACCAAGGCAAAGCCCTCCACGTTGAACTGTGTGGACTTATAGGTAAACATGAAGAGGCCCCCAGCGATGAGAAGGACCACCAGGACCAGGGCTGCACGCTAGGAGGGGAACAGTGCAGCTCATTGGGAGCTCCAACCTCAAGCATGTGCCACATTTGGAGCTGGGGATAAGGAGCCAGCCATTCTATGCCTCATCTCTTCCAGAGGTTCTCTGGCCTGCTGGCAGACACGGCTTACACACAGCTGGCATGTTTCTAACATCGTACTTAACTTTTCAAACACTCAAAGCACTGGTGCCCATTCCAGACTCAAGTGCGCCCAAAGAGTACGAACCACCAAATTTCTTCGTGGGAACCCCAGGGCCCCAGGAAATGCTGGCCCTCCTGCACTTGCTTCCATACCTTCTGCCATCACCCCTATCTAGGTCCCCTCCCCAAGAAAGGCATTTTATGAGACCCAGGCCAGCGGTCTCCACATATGCAATGACAGAAAGGGAAAGAGATGCGGGGCCTCACCAGCTCCTCCAGCTTGAAGATGAGAGAAAAGATGAGGATGAAGAGCACGGCGGACGATTTGGTCATTGTGTACCTGGAGCAGAAACACCCACAAATACACAGCTGCAAACACCCCCACCCCAAAGGGCAAGCAGGCCCCAAAGAGCAAAGGCAGGAAGCCAGTGGGATCTGTGCTCATATGTAAGCTTTCAAGAGAAGCCTCCTAGGGGCCTGACAGTCACTGGGGGAGGAGTAGTGGGTCTGACATTAAGTTCATCAAGTTCTGTTCTCTATCTGGCTGTTGGCAGAGACCAGGTAAGGAAGATTAGAGAAACCTGGACAGAGACCTGAGGGGACTGCCTTCTCTAAAGCAAGACATCAGAGCTGAGACTGGTGACCAGCTGGGCTGATGGCAATGCTCCACTGCCTGGTCCTTCACTCTGCTGCCTGCTACCCCACCCCCATCCCGCCCCCACCAAGCAATTGTAGCTGCTTTGTCCAGTCCCCTGGCTTCTCCTTGCTGCCTGGTGGGCAGGTGCAGCATCTCTCTCTGCACTGGGCTTAAGGAGGAGCGGGAGGCTTCTTGGAGTGTTGCTGGGTGCCAGCAAAGAGCGGAGGGAGAGCAAGGGATGGTCCCAGAGACGGATGGCCCACTGCTGGCTACACAGACTGCCAGCTGGACAGAGCAAGTGAGCTTGGCCTGTATGGGGGGTGGAGGGTGTGGCCAGTACTCACAGTGATACGGTGATGTAGAGAAAGCTCCAGTTGGACAAGCCCACATCAAGTGCTGTTGCCAGTGCTATGGGGACAGAGGACAGGACACCAGGTCAGAGAAGCCAGTAGGCAAAGCATGTGCCTGAGGCACCTGAGGCCCTGCTTGCCCCTCCTTTCCAAGCAACTCCAGGTTAACACTTGGTCAAGAGTCCATCCTGATTGGCCAGGCCCATCAGTTTCCTCTGTGTCTATCCTGATTGGCCAGGTCCATGAGTTTCCTCTGAGTCCATCCTGACAGGCCAGGCCCATCAGTTTCCTTTGAGTCCATCCTGATTGGCTAGGCCCGTCAATCTCCTTTGTGAGTTCACCTTGATTGGCTAGGTCTATCAGTCTCCTTCATTAAGTAATTTGAACAGCTCTAGACAAGAGCATTAACCTGATCCTGTCAAGCTGCTCCGGGGGCACCTGGCCATCCACAAGTAGCCCAGCCTGCCAACTCCCTCCCCCCTCCCACCAGCAGGGCTTTCCCTCCTGACTTCACACTCCAGGGCCAGAGGTGCCCATCCACCTTTCAGGCCTTGTCACTCAAGACCAGTCCTAGGAAATCTTTTAGCCCAACCTAGCATGGTCACCCAGTAAGGCTCCGGGAGTCAGCAAGGACAGGGATGCTGCCTGCTTTGAAGAGAAGCAACAGTAGGAGACAGGTGAGGAGGAAGCGGGGGGGGGGGGAGAGGTAGGGAGCAAGGGCTCCTCTGATCTCTGGCCTAGGCTCTCCAGCAGCCGTCCTCAGGCTGGACCTACCTGTGGGGGCCACTCTTCTGAGGTAGTCAGTCCAGCTGAGCACCACTCGGGCCCTGTGGCTGGAGCACTGAACCAGCGCCCTGGACAGGGCTGAGAAGAGGAAGATCACAGCCAGATGCAGCATGGTCATGAAGAGGGGAAAGTGGAAGCTCTGTGGGGCCAAAGCAGAGGGCAGGAGTGGAGAGATGTCGCTGCCCCTCTATCTCCTCCCTCAGGAGCCACCCCAGGGTCTCTTCCCTCCTCTGACGGCAGGGACCAACCCAGGGACTCAGCTACACAGTGACCCCTTGGAACAAGGGTTAGTCCCCACTGTGTATGGCACACAGAGAGGTGGCAGCCCAGGGGTTCATTCCTACCCAGTTTCATCACAACCTGCTGGTCACCTGCTTAGCCCTCTCAGGGCCAATGTCCAGGAAAAGTCACCATGACCCAATACAACTGTACCAACTCCAGCCACCTGCAGCCCAGACCTTGCGCTGCGAGGCCCCGGTTACCTTTGTCAGCCATTTGTTGTAGAAGGTGATGCCGATGGAGAAGCAGTAGTAGAGGAGGACCAGGCCCAGCGTCAGCACCGCCTTCCACACAAAGGCGACATCAAGGGCCCACCTCCCCATCCGTGGGCCAGCAGGAGCAGGAACCTCGCTTGAAGATGGTTAGCAGGAAGAACCAGCAGAGCTGGACCACGGTTTTCAAAGGACAGTTCCCCTGGCTGGAAGAGTCCTCTTCACCTCCATGATATGGTTGTGTAATGGGCCCCAGACAGAGCCCTCACCTAAGGGGCTGGTGGCCAGCGCCAAACTGCTCCATGGCTAGCTGGATACGGAGGTCACAGGTCCCCAGCTCTGCTGCTGGAGAGAAGAGAGGGAGGGTCTGGCCACAGTGACCGCAGAGGCCACGGGTCCCACCCCAGCACAGGGACTTGGGCTCTAGTGTACATTCATACTGTCCTCCACGGGTTCCCACCAAAGTGACCTTTCAACAGGTAGGTGTATTGTCGGACCTTGCCTCAACCCTCCAGCAGCACCCAGGTACCTTCACAAAGGCCAGAGTCCGCCTGTAGTTCTGAGGTCTAATCTGGTCTAGTCTGTCCCGGCACAGAAGGGATGACCACCTTTTCAACCTTCCTCAGTACAAATCCTCTTTCTCAGGGACCTGCCTAGGAGCCGCCATTGCTCTCCCACTTTCCTTCTGTAGCAACTGAGAGGGGTGTGATTTGAGAAGACTTTTTTTTTCTCTTTTTAGTGCTGTAGACAGAACCCAGAGTCTCATGCTAGGGTCCATGCTATCATTGAGCCACACCCCCATCCCCCCTGAGTAATACTGCTGCCCCTCGTAAGGTGGCACTCCACAAGGGCCTCACACACACCTGGCACTCTCTATATTCTCCTTTGGTCTGATGGCCCCACGACAGTGTGTGTGTGTGTATGGGATTTCAGGGGACTCATCAGGTCTTGAGGAGCTAAAGTGACCCAGGCATCCCTTGCCCTGGTCTCCAAGAGGTGCCCACTAAACCAAATTACCACTTGTCAATCAGCCCAGCAACACCATGAGTGCCCAGGGTATACTACAGCTGTTTCCTCCCCACCATGCTGAAATGCCAGCTCCCATGGAAGCCTTCCAGCATCGTGGGATCTGACTTCCCTCCTTCCAGCCTGGACAGTCCACTCTGTACTCTGGAACCTGTTATCACATTCCCTCCTGAGGCAAACTGGGCTGGCTCTGGGCTTTGTCAAAAGGACTCCTGGGCTGTGGCTATCTCTGGGAGTTTGGAACCCTGCGTGGTGACCTGGAGAAAGCTCCTGGCGTTCGGTGAGAAGGGACTGCAAAGGCCCTGCCCAAGGAGCTCAGCACCGTTCTGTATTCTGAACATCTCTGATAGTCACAAAAGCTCACTTCTGATTTCTGTAAACATGGTTTTGCAGGGCTCTACCATACACTGAGATTGCGTGCTGTCAAAGTGGAGCCAAGAGTCCCCACTCTGGAAAACCTCTTTGCTGGCAACAGCTCACATCTCTGGGGCTGCTATCATGGTTGCTGTGAGCTTAGCCTTATGGTGGACTCATTCCCAGGTATTCTATAGCAAGAGGAACACCAGTGACCTCATGTGACTCCAGCACCTCTGTCAGAACTGACAGATGGATACATTTTATTTCGTCATCAATTACCTTCCCTTCATCTACAGTTAGGACACCACCGGTTTTCGGGTTAACGAACAGGCTAAGAACCAAAGACATGGTGGGTCCAAGGGAGAGGCACTGCCCTACTGGCCTAAGGCAGCCTTGCATCTTGATATCCTTTCTGCAGGCTAACATCTCCCCAGCATGCAGCCTGCTCTGGTCCCCATGAGCCCCAGAGGCAGACCCAACCGCTGACTAGATCTGTTCACCTGGGCCATTAATCACAGGGTCCTGTTTACACTGCTAGACAGTTAGGGCCACAGGCTCAAACCAACTTCGAATAGACCTCAAGGTCCACATTCTCTCAACGCCAGGGCTCTGTGGCCTGGCGCTACTGAATCTTTCTAGGAGAAGTCAGTCCTATATATTACAATCCATTATCAAATCCCTGTCTCTACCCACGGGATGCCAGGAGTACTATACCCCCAACTCCATACTGTAACAACCATATTGGGTCCAGAAGTTACCTTGCAGTGTTGGCTGAGCATGTGGAGGGCCTGGGCTGAGTCTCCAACACAGCAGGAAAAACACTATGCTCCCTCTGAACCACTGCTTCCCCTCCCCGGCGGAGCATGCTACACGCCAGGACAGCCTGTTCCCTTTTTTATCAACTTACTGGCCCGCCACCTTCTGATGAGTTCCTACCTGGTCACTACGGTGCTCTTTGTCCACTATTCAGCTTGCCTTTCTTTCAGAGAGCTTGTCTAGCTCCTCACCTCTAGGTGACTATGCAGAAAGTCACTACCCCAAACACAAAGCCAAGCGCCAGCTGGAAAGCCCGGGAAGCACATGGCCCCTAGCTCTACGTGCCATCATGAAGCAGTGCTTGGCCTCACATCGGATACACAGACGTGAAACTGCTGAGGTCCTCACCCTCACTCTGCGGTGAGAGCAGACTTGCGATCATGTCTGCCCAGGCAAGGGATTCAGTCTTTCTATTCCCAAGAAACAGCAGCTACCTCAGAGCAGGGTGGGGCAAGGCTGTGGCACCTGGCTGCCCTCTATCACCTCAGCTGTAGCCCGGGTAGTGAATGAAGCTTAATGCTTCAAAGCACGGGCTGGAACATCAGAGCCCTGTGAGCAGATCCTCCGTGTCCACCTCCTGCTGAGATCACAGGTTACCTGGCCTGAGTGGACTCAGTTGCTCTAATCATGTGCTTTGGGGACAAGGGCGTCACTGGCATGAGAAGTGGCACTTCACCTCCTTTCCAGTGTCAGTCTGTCGGGCTGTGTTTCTGTGGCTCCCTCGTGAAACTGACCACTTCCTCCTCAGAGACCCAGAGGGCGTAACTTGCCCCAATCCCTTAAGTCTTCTGCTTTCCAGACAGCTGCTTGGCCAGTGCCTTCTCTCCAACTAAGCCGATCAGAACTGGTCCCTGAGGGGTGGAACACAGCTTTCTGCCTTCATTCCCATCCCACCAAGACCACCTCAAACTTTCTGTGAGGACAGAGGAACCTAACTGCCATTTAGGAAGCTCCAGTTGACAGCTCAACTTCAAGGTGCCCCAGGGAGCTACCCTAATATTCCTCAGGTCTCCATCCCACCCTGAAGTCACTCAGAAAGTCATCCTAAGGACTGTTTGCTCTGGCCACAGGCAGTCGTCCCTCTGCATTCTTATCCTGCCTTGTCAAACCCACCTCTAGTTATGTGTGGACCCACCCACTTCTCTTCCTTTCTCCACCACGGCAGTCTAAGCCACAGTTACCTTTCACCTACTGCCTGTACTTCAGAAAGAGCTATGGTTAGCGTTGTCAACTCGATACAGACTACAATCACCTGGGAGAAGGGCCTTGGAGCACAACAGTGAGAGAGTCTCTAGATCAGGTTAACTGATATGAGGAAACCCACCTAGTTGTGGGCAGGGTCTCCCAGACTGCATAGAGGGGAAAGGGACACCAGCACACAATCATGACTCTCTGCTTCCGGGCGTGACCAGTTGCTCTTGCTGCCCTGACTTCCCAATGATGTTGCACATAGAACTGTGCGGAAAATCACGCCCTTCCCCTTCCTTCCTAAGTTGCTTAGGTTAGAGTGTTCTAGCACAGCAAGAGGGAAAGAAACTCAGACAGACAGCACCAACAGACTGGAGACCCCTGGGTTGGGGCCACAGGTCCTCCTAGGATCCCGCCTGCCAGAGCCCTGCAACCGCACACTCAGTCGTGTGCCCAACACATCAGCCGGTATCCTCCCGGGTTACCCGAAGTTCTCTGCTTCTGTCCCCCTTCCCCAAGGCTCCCACCGCGCGTGGCACATCCCACTGCGTGACGTCTGTGTTTGCTCACGTGTCATCACCGCGCCTGCCCGGCAGCGTCCATCTGGTTCCCCCCAAGACTCGGCCCCTCGTAAGTGCTTGGTAAATGCCCGGCAAATGGGCCCAGGGCCACGGGAGGCCTAGGGAAACTGAGGCCCGGGCTGGGCGGGAATGCAGGGGACCGCCCACCGCACGCCCACTTACCTCCTCCGCCCAGGCGCTCGCCCCGAGACTCCTGCCGGAAGCGCGAGCTGGGCACTGAGCCTCTGGAGGCGAGACTTCCGCCGGAAGCCAGTGGAGGTGGGTGGAGCCAGAGCATCTTTCTCTAGCCAAGCCGGCCGAAGCCGACTTTATAACCTCTGTCTCTTTCCCTAAACTGGCATGCGGGAACGAATTACATATACTAATAACTCTTTCGTGTGCTTTTTTTTTCTGGGGCCTTAAGCATCGGTAAATGATGTGAGGACCATTAAATTTAGAAATGTAGACAGTCTGGGCAAAGACACTTGTGAAATTACATATACCCATACATTTGTGAGAATTATTCAATAGGTTGAGTGGGTGAAGATCATCCCAGAGGAAACGAAACCCGAAAGGAAGGCGTAGTTTTACTGAGAGCCCAAGAAAGCAGGTTGCAGTGGATTCAGAACGCCAATCGTGCACACCCAGATTTGATTCATTTTAAGTACAGGGCATGTGGGCAAGAGAACCTTGTAAGCCGTGCAAGCTAGGGCTGCAGACCCAAGCTGGCCCGGTTCTCTGCTTTTGCCCTTCTGGGCTCTGTACTAAGACTGGCTGCAAACAGAGATCCTTGCACATGACTTGGCTGGGCTTCTGGCTCCTAGCGGAAGACTCAAGGCCAGAGTGTAAGCTGTGCTTTGTGCACAGTGCTGCTGCAGGCTGCTGCCAGCTGGCATCACGCAAGCATTAGTTCATTCAATGCTTCCTAAGATCTACAATGGTACCCATCGCAGCCCAAGGTCTTGGCTTCATTCAGCCCTCAAGGCCTGTGTTGCATGCACTTTCTATGCTGTCTGAAAGCGCCTGTCCTCACCCCCTTCTAACAGTGGCAAGAGGAAGTATCTATTTTCATCACTGCCCTCATTCAAGCCTCCTAGCTACCAAGGCTGCTGATGGGAGCAACAGCTTAAAACACCAGCTGGAAGGCTGGGCACCAAGTCCAGGCAGCACATGGGGTGCGGAACATGTCTTCTTTGAAAGGCACAAGTACTCGAGTTGTTCCCTGGCTGTGTCCCTGGCAGGGAAGAGAGGGAGGATGGAAACTTGGGGGTGTACGGTACGTCTTTCCACGCTGTACCCAGCAGGGCTGAGCAGGAAACACTCTGTCCTGGTACCACAATCTGTGAGCATGCTTAGCCAGCAGGTATGAATAGTCTGTGCATGACACAGCAGGATAGACGGGGAGGGAAGAGGATGGCTCCAGGAAGGAGGCTGGGAGCACTCCCAGGCACAATGGAATGAAGGCTGTCAGGCGCCTCCCTACCCTTGTGGCAGGGAGCAAGTGCAGAGGAGCAGGTATTTATAGGTAGGAACCAGTCTCCATGAAAGAGTATTTATTGAAAACACGGTCACTGACAGGAAGCTGGCTGCTCTCTGGTTACACGCTTAGCTCATGACCCAAAGCATCCCTTTTTATGCTCAGTTTCATCTTCCCTTCAACATTCTATCCTAGGATAGGATGGTCTTATATAAATATATATACACGTCTGTATAAGTATGGCCTATAGTAAAGAAAATATATAGTACACTCTTGGTTGGGCAGTACCACCATGCCAGGCTACCAGTACTGAATACCATCATGTTAACATGCGTCCAAGGAGAGGCTGTGTGTGTGCTTCAAGTGCTGCAGTACCAGAGAAGGCCCATGGCACAGCTGTGGCCCTAGCTGCTTCTTGAAATCACGGCTAATGGCTAAACCACAGTGCCAGAAAGGAAAGAAAGGGAAGGCAAACTGCCCCAAGTCTGGGAGCAAGAGGGAAGCAAGCCAGAAGGGCCTGCAACTAGGGAGCATGGGAACATTCTTCCTCAGGAAGGAAAAGATAGAAATGGAGGGGGAGAGCTAGGACGCCTCAACCCGACTTTCCCTGGAGTGTTCCTGGAGCCTAAGAGAGCAGGACTCAGGCTGGAGGCCTCTGCCTGGCCAGCACGAGACTGAGTGCTTGGGGGAAGAGATTGCTACCTGTGTGGGCAAGAGAGATGGATACCCCTAGAGACAGAGATCTAAAGGCCAACCTTGAGGCAGCAGCATCTTGGCACAGGATGAGGCTGGAATGAGCCTGCAGAGACCTACTAAGCAAAAGCTCTAGGCCTGTCTTTGCCTGAGCCATCTGAAGACAGTCAGTCCAAGGCTCACACCATCCCAGTCCTCCAGCCCGCATGAGTTCTCCAGAAAATCAGAGAGTAGGGATGGGATGGCTGTTGGTAAGTCCAATTCCAGACTCAGGGTAGGAGGCAAGAGCATCTTGAGTTCACACCTCTAGGCCCAACCCCAGGCTCTGTGGTGCTAAGGAGGGCGGCAGGCCCTGACTTCATGACTCCTAGAGAATGGGGTCCAAGAGAAGTCCTGGGTCCCACTGGGTTTGAGGGGTAGTCACTATGACCACTCCAGAGTCTGTACAAGTAGAGGCAAGGCACAGGCTGCCAGTGTCTCTCCTGGGCCCCAGTCCCTTCCTGCTCATCCGTAGTGATAGACGAAGTCATAACTGCTGGGCTCCTTGGGGACCGGTGGTGGTGCCTCTGGGATCTGGATGTTCTCCAGGTCCAGAAGACGCAGCTTCATCTCCATGCTCAGCAGTGTGTCCAGGTCGCTCTTGGTTAGCTCACTGGACATGTCCTTCCCCAGGAGGGCGCTGAGTCCATCAATCCAGATGCAGTACTGTGGGCAAGTTGCAAATGTCACACCAAGGGTTGCAGTGGGACTCACGGCAGTGCTGGTGGGGACCATTCGGAATATGCAAAGCTCATAGGAGACGAGGGCAAGGGCAGATAGGAGATGGCTGTCACTATCAACTGACAGGATTTTAGGTGGAATTTGTGTGAAAACTTTGAATAAGGAATACAAGAAGCTGTACTGGAGCAGTGGGATGAAACAGGAGCAGAAAACACACACTCAAAAGAGAAGGAAGCAGACAGGGACTCAGCAGTGCTATTCTGTTTTTTTAAAAAAAGTCAATTATGTTAAAAATATTTTTTAAGGGAAGTACAAAAGAAATTGGCATAGCTTTCATGATGGAATATGCTTATAACATCCAAGCACTTGGGAGATAAAGGCAGGAGGACCAAGGGTTCAAGGCTAGTCTCAGCTCCCAGAATGCAATGGTGCAGCAGAGGCTCTGCTCTGTCAGCCCTCTGATGCTGTTCTCCTTAGTCTGTGCCTTGTGCACGGGCTCTGTCATCCAAACACAGCCCTACTGGCCCCAGTGCCTGCTCCTCCTGCAGCCTGACGCCAAGTGCTCAACGGCAGGCCCCCAGTTAACAATGAGTTAACTGAATTGGGCACTAACTTCGTCCTGGCTACTGGTGGACTGGCGTCCCTTGTTGTGAGAGCAGATCCATCTAGCTCCACAGACTAATTGCATCCACTCCATGTAACTGGGATTCAACTCATCTGGGAAGATATGACTGCAAGATCACACAAAGGAAAACCATCCCCATGCCATACCTAATTGTCTAATAATTGTCAGCTGCTCCTAAGGAGTCAGGTGGAAGACTGGTGTGGTGGTGCATGCCTTTAATCCCAGTCCTCGGAAGGCAGAGGAAGGCGAACCTCTGTGAGTTCAAGGCCAGCCTGGTCTACATATCACAAAAAAATAAACAAAACACCCCCCCGCCGCCCCCAAGTAAAGTGGCAAATCCAACTCGGTGGTAGAAGGCCCACAGACTTGGTGATCCATTGTGCCCACCTGCTTTCAGGGGGACACTGCTGTGCTGACCACAGCCTCTCTGACTAAGAGCCACAGTTAGGGCACTGCTGTTCAAGGCAGTGCGGCCCAGTGCTTACCTCATACTTATTAGGAGCGATGAAATTCAGTGTCTCGTCAGGATCATACAGGATGGAGAAGGCCAATTCCAACACTTCCTACAGAAAAAGAGTTTGAGTGATACGGAGCAGTGATCAGTGATGATGTCACCAAGTCCCTAACCATGCGCCCAGGGTGAGTTAATCTTAGCTCACTCACTCCCTGGCACAGTCACACCTAAGAGGAGGTGGTAGTTTTTTAAACTTGGAACTTAGTGTGGCGGGACCTGCCTGGATCCCAGCATGTGGGAGATTGAGGTTTGAGGTGAATCTGGGCTATATGGGGAGACCCACCTTCCTCAAAAAACAAAACAAAAACAATTGCTGCAAAGTATTTTTAACATTCAGAACCTTGAATGCCACGACCATGTACCACCCTATGCTTTTATCTTCTATCCCAAGATGGCTGGCTTTCTCTTTGTATGGTGCTGTACTCAGTGCAAAAAAGTCCTGAGAGCTAAACACCCCAACAAAAGCAAATTACTGATGAGCTGAGACAGTCTGAGCATCAAGAAAATAACTGCAGTACAAAGAGTCACACGTGATCAGCTTAAACCCATGAGCTCATAAGAACACTAAAAACACAAAATGGAGACATAAAAATTGGTCACACTGTGTGGCGCCAGGAAACAACTAACAACTCATAGCTTTATAAGCAGTTATATGAAAGGAGAGTCAAGCCGTTAGCCATTTTCCTATAAACCACAATGGGGAAGTAGATAAAGGCAGGTTTCTTTACTGAGACGTGGTTCAGCTCATTAGTAAACGGAATACCCCTAGTTTGCAAACCTTAGCCGCTGAGCAGCGATAGTCGGCTGACATGAAGGAGCACCACCCGGCCATTATGAGCCTCCTGATAGGCCCCAATGCCATCTAGGAGATGGCCACACCAGGGCAAAGTCAAATCGGAACCAAATCAAACCTCTAGGTCCCTGTGCCAATTTACAGATCGGGGACAGAAGCACAGAGAGACAGTCAGCAAAACCTGAACTCTGGGAAATGACTACATAAGCAACATGGTCTATTAAGCTAATAAACTGCAAAGATGGGAAAAAGATGGAGGGGGAGGCATGAATGAAGGACTTAGAGACGCAAACACTGCAGCAAGCAAACCTACCAGAACCAATTTAAAACTGGGTGCAGGGGGCTGGAGAGATGGCTCAGTGCTCTTCCAGAGGACCTGGGTTCAATTCCCAGCACCCACATGGCAGCTCACAGCTGTCTGAGAGTCCAGTCCCAGGGGATCTAACACCTTCACACCAATGCACATAAAAGTTAAATAAATCATTAAAAAAAAAACTGGGTGCAATGTGTGCATGTGTGTACATATGACATTCATAAGACAGCAGGTGGACATTTCAAGGCTAATGAAATATTTGATATTAAATTATTGCTTCTTATCTTCTGCTAGGTGTGGTATATAACTCCGTGGTTTTATCGTTTAGAGACACACAGTAGATACTCATGAATGAAGTGATATTCTACTTGGGATCTTCCAAAGTCAAAAGGAAAAGTGGGGGGCAGAATTTGCTGAGGCTGGTGAGCTGTGCCGTGAGGTCTATTTATTTTTATAGTGTTCAAACCTCTTGATATCGAGTGTACAGGAATAACTTACAGCGGGAAGAGACTCAGCGTGCACCTGGAGCCTGCAGGTATCACGCGGGTGCTGGTGCTCAGGACAGCCTCCCCACTCACCTTGTTCTGTTTCAGGGCACTCTTCTCTTTCATGTGGGGACAATCTTTCCCAGTGACAATGGCCTTAATATCTGCAACAGGAACTGATAAACAATGGGAATTAACATCTGGAAGCTGAAGCTGCAAACTGGTCTAGCACTGGCCTCAGTGTTGGAAGGGAAGCCCTGGGCAGGGTGCCAGGATGCGGCAGCTCCCAGGCTCAAGGGCCCTCCCAGCTCAGGAAGGTGTGCCATGTGAACCTGTCCTGCTCTTCAGTCTCTTCCTGTACACCTGGCTGTGCTACACAGGTGTTACTTGGGCTCATCTCCTTTAAGGAGTAAAGCTTTGGGCACCCCTCCCACTTCTCTTCCCAGTAGTGAAGGTGGCAAAGAGGCCAAAGCAAACGGCTGCCACCTGCTACACAGTGCCCTGTGGAAACATATTCATTTCTCACACTGTCCTCCTTGGATAGAAGTATGGGATTAATCCCATTGTACAGTATAGAGGTGAGTATTAATTCACAACAGCTAGTGTTAGCAATCAACTAGGGGCTAAGCCAGGGTTCAGACCCTGTAGCTTTAGAGCCTCTGTACACCCACTGCCTTTCAGTGGAGTCCTGTATTGCCCTTCTGACCTACACACAGTCACATCTGGGATCTCAGTAACTCCTAACCACCCTGAGGTGGGCCAGAAATAGGATCTTCAGCAGACAAGGAAACTGAGGGTGTGTGCCTGAGACCAAACACTGGGTCTGAGACAGTTAGGACCAGCACTCAGGTGACCTGTTGAGCACAGGTGTCATGACACGCCAACAGAGACATATACCTACTTTTCTCCTGCAGGGATTCAAACGTCACCTCCCCTTGAGGGTTGTCATCCAAGTCACCATAATGCAGGACCTTGTGGTTCAGTGCCAAGCGGCAGTGCCAGAACCGCTCTGGAACACAGGACGGCAAGCAGGTAAGGCAGGCATTGCTGGGCAAAGGGCTGCTCTGCAGAGCCTCCTAGGCAGGCTCCCAGTGCCCTAGCTGCCCCCTTACCTTGCCGCCGACGGTTCCCGATCTTTCGGAAGCTGCTGCCCTCACACAGTCGGTTCAGGCGCTGTTGCTTGATTAGTTCCAGGATCTCGGGCTGGATTTTCTCCCGGAGCTCCCTGTGGCACACACACCCAAGTCAGTAGAAGACCA